GCTGCGGGGGCAGTCGTTCGTCAGAGACGTGCACAGACACACACACACACCCACACGCAGGGAAGCAACTTCAGGTGGCATTGACGGGAGCGGCTCAAGACTGCGCAAGGATAGGTTACATTGGCGTAACGGAAAGGAAAGAAAGTGTCAACGAGTGCAAATCTGCAGGGTCAGGCAGGTCTTTGATGTTCATGTAATGCCCAAATTAATATTCAACATGGGAAACAGGTATGAGGCATCAATTTGCATAGAACCGTAAGACAGTTGACCAGAGAAAAAAATAAGAGTAAGGAGTGGGGTTCTCGAACGCGAGTATATACGTTATGGGGGGGGAGGGAGGAAGGTTGATGGAAAGCACCCCAGAGCTTGAAAATCCAGGGCGCCGAGTATGAGAGTGGTTGCGCAAAAAAACGCGAACGAGCATGCACACATACAAGAGAGTATCAAGGATCCACTGAATTAAAAATAGGAAGCGGGTCACAGAATAATGCATGGGGGAGGAGGGAAGGGAGAGTTGACGAGGTAGCGGCGGATCACAGAAAAAATGCCTGTGTTCGTGAGTGTCGGGTAGGAGGAAGGCACCGAGGAGAAGGTAGGGTAGTCTGTAGCAGCTCCAAACCTAGCTGTCGGATGCGAGGCGCGTGTAAACCGCTTGATGGATGAAGGCATACTGCTTGGCGGTCTGCACGGTGCAGGCTCGTTGGCAGCGCATTCTAGCCACAATACCTCGAATATCGACAACGCGTTCCTCTTTGGCTTGCTCTAGTGCGATGTCGATGGAGGTAAATGTACCTAAATAGTGATTAACAAACATTGTTACTCACAATCACTGAGTAGCAATAATAGGCAGGAATTAAACAGGGACTAAGGGCTATGAACCTGTGCGTCCTATGCCAGCGCTGCAGTGTACAATGAGTGGAGGAATGGAGTCACGGTTGGTAGAGTGAAGACGGGCAACATGCTGATTAACAACATCAAGGAAGGTGAGAAAACCGACCGCGGAGCTTGGAACATCGTAGTCGGGCCAGCCAAGAAAGAGAAAGTGATCAACCTGACGCGGAGAGCACAGTCCGTCCACCCCATCGATGTTGGTCTACATGGTAGGAGGAAATAGTAGAGTCGAAATTGCTAAACTGCGCAGGCTATTTTAACGCCAAAATAAAAGGTATTGTGTTGATGAAACAACCAATCTGTTAATCAAGTGAAATCCCAAAAACAAAAAGCCAACTTGACTCGCTTTTCTGCCTGTTACATTTGATCGCATGCAGAATTGAAGCTGAAAAGGGCAAAACAAAGAAAGGAGAAAAAACCAAATCTGAGTGAATTCACATCGGCCCTCTCCGATTTAGCCAAATACTAGAGGATAAGGAATCGATTATGTTTTTACGATAGCATGATTTCATAAATGGAAGACAGGCTATACAGACAAAATGCCGATACAGTAGTCGCCGGTTATTAAGCCCACGGTTAATAGGCCCAGCCACGT